CATCCATATAAGCCAACATACGTATAAGTACCTATATATATATACACGCGAAAGAATCGCATGTTTATAAGACATTAGTAACGTTAACTATTATATACAGTAAGCGAATCCGTTGAGTTTAATGGTTAATATTATATTTAAGAAAACAGAATGGCTATGTCTTTATTGGTTTAAATCACGTGGGGTAATACATATAAACATAGATGTGCAGGTGCTTGCACAATCCATGTTATCAACTGTCGAAACCCATACGAAGTTTGTTTTTATTGTGTATCGTTACGACCGATTTATGATTTAGATTAAGTTGCTTCTTGTTAAGAGAGATAACAAGGTTTTGATTTATTCAAGATTTTTTACCTTTTTTTCTCTCAGAACTAAATGATAAAAAAAAGTATTAAGTAGCAATTATTACCACTACTTAAATTAAACTTTCGTCACTTTTTGGAATGATTACAAAAAAAAAAAGAAAAGAAAATTCTATAATTGTAGCAAATATATATAACATATAACTTGAAGCGAAATTTTTTTTCAAATAGATTTCTTAAACTTCATAAATCTAATATCGGTATAGGTGCGGCTCTGTTAACTCTTTATAAGATATACTTATAGCACATAAAATAGTAGATTGACATTAATTACTTTGATGGAAACTTAAAACCGCTAAGAAAAGCAACTCCTTGGGCAATATGTACATATGCATACATATATAAACATATGGACGGACATTAAATTGCACAGTAGCAAGTATGCGACATGTTCGTGTATGTACATGATCATAGAAAATCGGAGTAAAAAATAGAAACACATAAAAACTATGAAACGATTTTAAATGTTATCTGCAAATAGCAATTAACAAACACAAACACGCGCACCTTTGCATACATACATTTAATAAAGCGCGTCTAAACAAATAATGGCCAATGAGGACATGCAAACTATTGATAACATGCTTTTCAAGCTTTAATAATATTTAGTTGATATAATATGCTTTATATTTACCGCGCAATTAAAAAGAGAGTTATACCAATGTCCTTCTAACGTTTGTAACAGCCGATTATAGTTAACTCATTATTAATACAAATTTTTTATATAAGATTTAGATTAGAGGCCTCTACAATTTGCATAACAGTGAAGCCTGATATGAAACATAAGGTTATATATTTCACTCGAATCAATCCGCAATTCATTTTATAACAAGGGAAATTGTTTTAAAAAGAGAGATAAAAAGCAAATCATGTTTATTGTTGCCCACATCACATAAGAATACAAAACAATATAAGAAAGCGAAATTTGCATGTTTTGGTTAAATAACTAATTATGCATTTACGTTTAGGGGGATATGCGGTTTTCTTGCTTATTATTTCTTATTCTTAAATCTCTCCTGTAAGCGGATGAAAAGCATCTCTAGAATGGGCAGAAAGCCGTATACCTAATAGCTTATATACTATCTAGATCTAGAGAGCATGAGGTTCTCTTATTCTACTTAGTAATTTCTTCTTGATTCTATTTTACTTACTAATTCCTTTTGCCTCATTTTTGTCTGTTTTTTCTTAGATTTATCTGTAGGCATCCATTTGCCCGCTCGCCTACTCGCGACTATCCACTTAATCAGCCGTCACTTATTCATCTATAACATTGTACATCTGTCTGATAATACAACCGTAGCATCCTTCATTAACCCGTTGAATCGTCTAGCTGTGCTGTTGCCAGTCCCGCGGATCGTCGCCTGTACTGTTCTTACATCTGTTCTGGTTTGGTTGCCAATCGGCAGTTTTATTCTGCTATTTGGTCTACTCGGATCCTCCATCGATTGTGACGACTATCCTTTGCTTTTCTGTCGTAAATGTGAAAAGCTCTTACCTGTCATTCAAGTTCCTCAGTTAAGATTTTGGTTTTGTTTTTGCTATTTAAACCAAACCTATAATTATTAAAGAAAAACATTTATTATGACCTCTCTGGGCGTGATATGGCGCTTACGCTGAATTTTTTTATTTTCATTTTTTTCTTTGCTTTTTATATGTCATTTTAAAAACATGCCATTCTTGGCTCTTGCTGCCTATGTATGTTACAAGCTTGTGACAAAAATTCATAAAAGTTTACCTCTATGTACATGTTCATGTAAATAATTATGTGTTATTAGTGTTTAACGAAAAATACCTCATAAATCAATTCGCGCTTTTAAATATCGACATCTTTATGTGTTATTGGGACTGGTTTTTTCTATTGCTGTGATTGGAAAGTATATAAAAAAAGAAAAGAAAACCAAAAAGACTTTTATTACACTTAAAAACAATAAACATTTTTAGTAAATAATAAATAATAGAGAGTGCACGGGACGACGGATCTGATAAAGCTTGCTGACACCTACAAAACGATTCTACGAACTATACTTCCAAGACAATCTGCGACCGAAAACGAACTAATATTTTAATTATACGTTTATATTGAACTTTAGAGATAAACTTATCAGAACTGGATTAAAACCAGTTTCAATTAATTTGCTAATGCATAACGATGAAGGATTTCTAATAGATTTTGCCGGATATGTTTCTCTTTTCTTTAGAAAAAATTTAAACGACCAATCGCGTTAAGATTTTCTTGTCTTTTATTGAAATGTCTTGGGATGTTCCTGATCAAGGTCAAGAAAGTATTTGCACTTATCCTTAAACCGTAATCGCATCTTAAAGACGTAAACAAAGCATGTTGTTTTTTTTCCACTTAAGAGAGCCATTGTCTCACGAGCTTTTTGCGAAACGGCATCGCGTTCTAAATATAAACTTTGTCCACCTCTTTATCAATTATTTCAAGACAAAGTCAATCAATATTGTTGGATAAGGTTTCAAGATAAGTTTTCACGAGAAAAATATTACGGGTTTTGATCGTAGAGATTTATTCGACTACTTTGGTAGTTTTCGAACCCCCAGACATTAGACCAATGAAAATAATCTGTTAGAGAGAGTAGTTCAATAATGTTAGTAATAGGTTTTCGTTTTAAATGAAAAATATTGTTAAATAAAAATAAATGAGAAAATTGTGGTTGGTCCTGATTTCACATTGACCACCTTACATTATTTCGCTTAATACTATCCCTCAGAAAAAGGCTTCTCAAAGTAAGGAATTTTATGAGAAGTCGTCGAAAAAGCAATTCGATCCGGACAATTTTCAATAGCGTTTGCCCTTGCGCCAAAACGCGTGAGTATGTGAAATTCAAGAATGCAAGACGGACAGATGGCCACCCAAATTTAAATCGATTCAGAAAGTATAAACAAAGGTGGGTATGTCTCTCGTCTTCCTGGCCGTTACGTACATCCGCACAAACTTAATATACTCTATGCCACAAGTGGTGTAGGGTATAATTAAGTGTTTATCTGGATGAGCCTGTGAGACTTGACGTGAGAAGCGTTCCTACTTTATTGATCATATGTTATTTTACTTTTAATTTTAAAAATGACTTTAGTTGTATTTGTTTTGTACATATTTCCTTAATTGAAAGTCTGAAGAGAAGCTTTAAAGCCATATTCACCCAATATCGCGACATATCCAGTATTTATGTTGAAAACTAATGAATATTTTGATAAAGTGATAGATGGCATCCGAAGGTCGACTTCAAAACAAATTTTCATTTGTTTCTATCAAAATATTCCTCTACTCTGGTCAGTTTGTGCATTAATTTCCTTTTCTCCTGCAAACTGAAATAGAAATCTTCAGTTTAAACTGAGGTAATGCACCCAATCAAGTTCGATGCATTTACTTCTTAGTTCTTTACGATTTGTAAGCCACGATCCAAATCTCTGTTAGAAAATTATATACCCTTTTTCCTTCTTAAACAAATCGTTTGTAATGTTTTGCTATTTTTTGTTTTTCTTTTACTTTTAATTAATATGATTTGTATTTTTTTTCATATCGATTTTGCACAGTTGATATTTATTTAATAAATTAATATGAATTTAAGGGAAAATGTCATTAAAATTAATTCTTATATCAAAAGAAGTAAACTTTTAACTGCAACATTAAAATTCCTTGTGGAACTAACGCTCATAATGATAAAGATTGTGAAGAGACTGCAAAAAAATAAAAAAATTAAAACAAAAATCACGCCAAACTATAAAAAAGCAAGAAAAAAAACGGAAACAAAAGCAACAAAAATACAACTTTCACCCGGCTCATATACAACAAACATTAATATACAAAGCACATCATAGCACTGCAATAACCGCAGCGCCACGATAGCCTAGCAACATAACAACGTCCTTGCAAAACAATAACTGAGTAAACACATAATAAAATAAAAGAAGAAATCCACAGAGACGTGTGTGTGTGTGTGTGTGTGTGTGTGTGCGTGTGCAAATGTATGTGTGGGTGGAAGCGTAGACCATCAAGAAACCAGAAAAACAAAAAAAAACAATATTATAAAAAGCGCAAAAAACACCAAACAACATCAGTATAGAAGTTGTAAAATTCACCGCACACGATGTTGTTGATATTGTGGCACCATAAAAATCCCATGAAAAATGAAATTAAAAAAATTCCGAAAAAAACGACGACACAAGGAGTATATATATATAAAAAACAATGAGAACATTATCCTAGAAAGCGAAGAAAAACCACTGCCCGTAGCAGTTATTTTGTATAAAATCAAATAAAAAAAGAAATTGAATAATAAATAAAAAAGGATTTCTTTTTTTTCGTAGAACGCGTGAGTTTTATTTTAAAATAAAGTTTTTAAGGATTAGTTGAACCGCTTGCTGGCCAGTCGTGTTATAAAGATGAACCAACTCCAAGCTATTAAAATGTTAAGAGGATCGAAAGTAATGGTTATATGATTTTCTTGATAAAACATTTAAGTCGACCTAGAAAAAGCAAAAAAGTAAGGAATAAAACGAGAAACCTCAGGAAAAAGGAAAAATAGCAAAGAAGAAGAAGTCGAACTGAAATATTTTAAATAATATAAACTTAAACTTTAGTAAATTATGGAATTTTCTTGATTTTTCCGGTTGCAGTTATGGTGCTTCTTATGACTTAGCTGCTCGTCGTAAGAATGCGACTCGGGAATCAACGGCCACTTTAAAGGCATGGCTAAATGAACATAAAAAGAATCCTTATCCGACTAAAGGTGAAAAGATTATGTTGGCTATTATCACAAAGATGACTTTGACACAAGTATCGACTTGGTTCGCTAATGCTCGGCGACGATTGAAGAAAGAGAATAAAATGACTTGGGAACCGAAAAATCGTACCGATGACGATGATGATGCTCTTAATTCGGACGAAGAAAAAGATAAAGATGATATGGAAACGGAAAAACCGGGACCACAAATCCATCCCGGCGGTAATGTGACAATGTCAGCTGGCGTTATGAGCGCTGGTCAGGCATTAAGAAAAGGTAGAAGTTTCGTATAATCAAATTTTATTGAAAAAATAATCTCTGTGTCAACTTTTAATAACTTTATAAAATTTTCCGTTTTTTTTTTTGATATTCTTTGGAATGTTACACAGGTCATGACAAAAATGATTTACATGAAGAAGACCATCATAAAAATCCCAATCACACTGGTGAAATTCGTGTGGGATTAAATTTTCCTGGTGGTTCTGCTTATCATGCGACCAATCATCCGCATTCCTATCATCCTTATCAACATCAACATCCAGCCTATTATCAGCATCAACAGTCAATGTTTGCTGGAAGTTATCAGCAGCATGCTACGTCTTCGTCGACGGCCTCCTCAGTGGAGGCTGCTAATAAACAAGATGGTGGCGATTCAAAAAACCAGTTAAGCCGGGACTGTGGAGTACCGATTCCAGCGAGCAAGCCCAAAATCTGGAGTCTGGCCGACACAGTCGCCTGCAAAACACCACCACCTCACACGGCTTAT